CCTTGAGACGCCTTATATGAGGATGCATAGAAATTTATATGATATTTAACTTGAAAATTATGAGGAATAAAACTTAGTCCTAACTTTTAAAGCTTCTAAAAGAAGAAGAATCATCAAAAAGATCTGAGCATTTTATAATTAAAAAACTTTAGAAAATAGTTTACCTCAAGCAGTATTAAAAAAAAAAAAAAAGATATGCAAACACATTATAACAATAACACATTGCAATCAATCTAGGAATCTGAGATTATTTTACAACATTCAGCTTTAGCATGCACAGTGCACACACAGAATTTGCAAAAGTAAATTCAAAAACCTAATAGATCCAAAGAATTGATCCATGATTGAGAGGATGATTCATGCTTCAACTCTAGATGCCAGGGGATCATATGTTTCATAGACCAAAGCAATGTGTCTAGCCTTGAATTTTTAAGGACTTCTGAATGATTAAAATTAATTTAGGGTTTCATGTGATCTAGGATTTTATGATGGTCCATTACAATAGAAAACCAAGTAAGATGTTCTTCTTGCAAAACTTAGAGCAATGGGACTAAGTGAGGGCATGTGTGAATGAAGCAGTTGAGTATTAAGAAGACGTGAAAGATTAAAATTAGTAAACAACTAGTATACTTTTAAACCTATGAGTTTGCTATAACCATAAGAGGTTCCTCTAATAAAAGTTCCTTTGTTCTGCTCTGCCTTTTCTTCCTCGCACTTCCAATACTCTGACTCTTTCCATGGCTCTCGGGAAAGGAGAGAGTGAGGGTTCAATTGGAAAAAGGAATAAGGGTTATGATCAATTAACATGGAAGAGAGACCATTGGTCTGCTATGAGATGTGGAGTGGAATTTTGCTTATTGAATTGATTAAGTAATTGAATGAACGAAAAATCTAATAGAAGTTATAGACATGTACTTGAAACATACTGGATAAAGAAATTATAAATATATAGAAAAAAAGTGAAACAACATAGAGGATGACAAGAAACCATAATTTTGTTAAGAAAGTATGGAAACAACAAACATAATAAATGCAACACATCATGAATAATTCGAATGCTGATAATTCACGGACATCATCAATATCAGTTGCAATATTTATATTATTCATCACACATTATTATGCAAGTGTGAATGCATCAAAAGATTCAATGATGAACAAAAACCTTCATTAAAAAAAAAAGAAGAAATGGTACACTATCCAAAATGATAATATCTAAAAAGTCTATGACAAATAAATTACATAAGAATCCTAAATAGATGAAGTTGATCCAACTTTAAAAAACAATAGCCTATGATATTCATAAGAAGATGTTATAGATCGAGAAAATGACTTGAAATTACAAAATGAGTTTGCATAGGATAATTTTGAATTTAAATTGGCATGTAAAATAGATCATATTCTTGAATATAAACCTACACTTGACCAAAAATTTAAATAAGAGTTTAAAAGCAAAATTGAATATGAGTTCATATTTGAAAAAGAATTTCCCATGGAGATAAAACCTATAATTTGATGTGAAATTGGATCAATCCTAGATAATGTATTAGATATAACTATTGATAAATTATAAATTGGTATTGTTTCTATCATAGATGACAAGACTAATATTTATTTTCTTTTTTATTTGTGGTTTAAGGCCATTTGGTGGCAAGTATTTAGAATTTTCGATCATTCTAAATGCAAAGCAAAGTAACTTCATTGTATTTGAAATACTTTATGATATTTGATTGTTTGAAAAATAAATTTAAGATATTATATTTTTGGTATTTGGATTGCTATGAAACAAGCCCCATCTTTTTAAGTTTTTTGAATGAATTATTTTCCTAGGTCATCGGGCAAGCAACGATGATGACGACATCTGGAAGGCAGTAGCCAACAACAGGCGGCAACCAACAACAAGTGGAGAAGGATACATAATGTATTAAAAAAATCGCCCAAATTGAACAAGATTTTGGAATTAAAAATGAAAAAGTAAACTCCAAATACAAAAAAAAAATACTATGCATTATTTTTCATCCAAATAAACAACTTAATTTCCAAAATCCTTGCATATTGTTTACATTACACTCAAAATACTTCAAATCAAACAACCCGTTAGTGACATTTAGGTATATAAAATGAATCTCATGACATGAACTAAGTTGCATCAATATTTTAGGGAATTGTTAATGATACATGTAATTAAAGAAAATTGAAATGTAAAACTCTATTGATTTGGTCAATACTAAAGTTTAGAATTCATCAAATTCACATTTAAGGAATTTGGGATAGTTTTCTTTAAAGAGGTTATCCGTCCATATAAGGATATCATAACTATGTGGCTTGCCTACTTGTACTTTCATTAGCATTTCATTTTCTAGGATTTAATTATATGTTAATAGTAGTATCCCTTATGATGCATATTAATATTTTTTGCCTTTTATTGCTTGTCTCATATCATTTACATAATTTGCATGATTTGCACAAAGTGAATAAGGATTTGTAAAAAATTAGTTGTTAACTCTGACAATTATAAATTTCATGCTAATGTAAATGGGTGATACATGGAGTTAAATCAAGTAATAAAATCAGGGTGCTTTTAACAAAAAGATTTCTCTCAAGAACCTTTAAGAAATTAAATGCAAAAATCATAGAGCCATTTAAAATTTTGTAAATCATTGGAACTAAACCTACAAATAGGAAATATGAAGAAATTCTAATATTAATACAATTTTCATTGTGTTCGATTTGTACTTATTTCAGTTATATTTATTTTCATCTCTTCATTATGAATCCACATTCAATCCTCCGCCAAATGTTTCTAAGTAGCTTGTTTAGGGTTATTCTGGATGACAAGATTATGTCCATTATTCTGGGTGGATTCCAGTAATATATTGTTCATCAACAAGGCAAACTTGTTTATAATGAATCATGTATTACTTTGCTAGCATCTCATGTATTATTATTTGCACAAAATTTGCTCTGATTTGCTAGCATCTCAAATGCTAAATTCTAAGCTAGATTTAGCCAATGTGATTAGGTTTGATGAAAATTTGGACATTCATTCTAAATGGAAGCATCATACAAATTAATGTTCGATACAAAGTTTATTATTTTAAACTTTATTCTCATGCCGTGATTTGCTAGTTGATTTATTTATTTTATTTTCAAAATCAATACTTTAACATGCCTATGATGATGTCCTTGAAAAAGGATGTACATGGTAGTTCTAATGTTAGTTCATATGGTTAGATACAAGTTCCAATTAGTTTGGTGGTTAAATACCCTAAGTACTACATAGGATTCATATAGGATTGATGTTATGGTGATATCGAATGCTCAATTTATCGAAGTCAAAGTTTTAAAACTCAAGCATATAGATATGAAACTATAGGTCCCATACTTGTCAAGTGTCAAGGCGAATGGTGCATGATGACGTAAAGTTTTCCGTGGTGCCATGGCGCATAGTACATAGCACATGGCGCATAGTACATAGCACATGGCGCGATGCACGCCATTTTAAACATTACGCACAATATAAAATATCATTAAATAGCAAACAATAGATTGATTTGAATAAAATTTAAGCATAAATATACTGTCAAACATAAAAAATGACAAATTTTAATTATACAGAAACTTACATCAATAGACTTAGTAGGATTTAAGCATAACTTAACCTAAATCATGCCAAATAGTAAAAATGACAACTTTAAGTCCTATAAAAAGTTAAATCCTTTAGTTTTTTGATAATTTATTAATTTAATATTTAATTAATTAATAATTAATTATGATATTAATACGTAAATCTTTGAAAATTAATTATAATTAACAATTTAAATTTTATAACATGTTAACAAAATTGCGTGCGTTATTTGTGACTTGCGTCATGCGCCGTTGCCCATGCATGGTGCAAATAGAGCGCTCTCTTTTGTTGCATCACGCCAAGCCAAGCAAATAGCACGTATGCTCCATGGCGCACGTCATTTTGCGTCATTGACATGTATGATAAGTCCCTTTACAAATTTTTGCTTTTAGTGGTAGGATTATTCTAGCATCTATATTCCTATCACTATTCTTTTGAGTAATGTTACATTATTTAATCATATCCCTATGACCCAGCTTTCACACAATTTATGCTCATATATACATACATGTATATTGGTCTAGAGTTCGAAGTAGAAGGGTAATTGGAATCATATTAGGATGATCTTCTGCCAAACATATCCACTAAACTAAGGATAAAGAATATATAAATAATGATTTTGACAAATGTAATTAGATTAGTTTTGATTGAAATTAGCAGGTGCAATTGGACTTTTAATTAATTCGAGTATGGTAAAAGTGCGATTACATAATTAAGAGAAAAATCATTCATTGTACAAGTGTGAATCCTTGATTTCTTAGTTAAAACTCTTTTCTTGGTCTAGTTTCTTCCATCTATATTTTCATTTACTTGTTAATTTTCATAATTTAGTTCAAATTTGACACAACTTGAAGTCTAATTGTGCTGAATAAATTGCAATCGCTCATTGATTTTGAGTGGTTTGAATTTTTTGTTGATTTGTTGGAATTTACTCACAATTCCATTATCTTTTGGATTGTAATGATCAAATTTATTGATTTTCATAGAAAGCAAGTTGTTCATTTATTGGTCTTTGATCTATGAATCCTAAACTCCCTCGTCATTCTAGCTGTATAAGAAAGCTCTAGCTCTAACCTATCCTACATTGAAATATTTCCATGCTGCCTATGTAATGAATGGCTCGCATCAAAATGTAAGAAAGATGCTAAGTTTCATTCATTTTAGAAGAGATAATTGCAGTAAATATACTCGATAATGAGATATAACTAATTATTCTTATTCTATCTGTTAATAAATCAACAATGGTTTATCCCTTCACTAGTTTCATCACAAACTACCCAAGGTACAATAAAGCATATTGAATTCCTATGTTCCAAGATCAGCATTCCAGAGAAAAGTAATGAATTCACATCAGAAGAAAATAAATGCAAACCTGCTTAGCCATGGCACAAGCTTTCTCTGATGAATTCAGGATCTCGTAGTAGTACACAGAGAAATTCAGAGCAAGGCCTAACCTTATAGGGTGAGTTGGTGCAAGATGCGCAAGAGCAATATCCTGTCAAAACATGTAAAACGAGTACATAAGAAGAAAATAAATAAATAAATTCCCTAGTTTTGCCCAAAGCTATCTACTAGTCACCCAAAAGGTAGAAGGGTAAGTATAACAATCACAAACACTTGGTTCACAAAAAGGAAGGGGAATACAGTCCAAAATCATGTAACATACAGGATAGGGCCCCACAAAGTAAGGCTTACTGAAATAAAGTGCTAAAATTAACATTAAATTATTAATAATTAATTCTAAGCTGCAATCATATTAACAAATGTGAAATGTAATGAATACAACCATTAGCTGTGAAAAAGAAAATTAACAGAACTTCTCCCGTCAGTCATTTTTACAAATACACAGTAGATAAATCTAAAGAGGTGGTCCACCATATAGAAACTCCATCACGTGTAGTTAACATCAGTTTAATCCATGTTTATGTGAAAACTAGTAAATATAGATATCAAATGCAATTGCAATTTTTGCAAAATCGTCAATTATGGGAACATTTGCAAACTTGAAAGTTGTTATCTGGTGTAAAAGGCTCCCCTGAATGCGAGATCTAAAGAAGCATTTATAAAAATAGTCTTATCTTGTTTTACAAGGACATTTTTACATGACTCAAACCCAAAAATTCCACATAACGAAGAAAACCTAACAAACGCTCTAATCGCACCCCTTTGTCCTTTCTAAACTAAAAAACCAAAAAGGAGACAAATCAGCCTGTCAAAAAGGAAGAATATTTATTTCTAAATTTTAGTAGAGTCTAAGGCACAATCACATCTTAGGTTAGGTTTGTTAAAATTAGTAGAACTATATTGTTATAATACCAATATTATCACATGTGCTTAATATTTATTAAAAATTTATAGTATTTTACATTGTTATATATCTTCATTATGAAGGATTTTCTCCTATATTGTATTTTCGTTATTGTTCTATTACATTGCCTTTATGAAGGCATGTTTGAACTAGCATTATAATCAATCCAATAAGAATGCATTATTTTTATTTGTGATTTCTAACAAGTATTAGAGTAACTTTATCTATAGCGTCGATCTAGAGCATCTTTGGCACATAAGAGTCCACCACCGATATGCTCTACTATAGTGTGTCACTACATATCCTCCTGAAATCTTGCATCATCTCCCACAATGCTTTCAAAACCCTCTTCAATGAGTCCTTCAAGCTCTCCTTCGACACAATGCCATCCTCATGTTTGTAATACACCAATATGACCACTCTCCCATTGATCTACCACATCTCCCTTGAACCCTCTAGTGTTGATCTTTCTCTGACAACAGGGTCTTCATCTTTGTCTCAATGGACATGAGAATCCTATTTCCTATGTGCAGGTGTTGTTGTTGCCTCTTCTATTGCATTTTTCTGCTTGTTTCCTGCTCAAGCGCAGCCCCTAGGTTGGCTGCTCATGCAGCCACTCACACCCGCTCATGTTGTCACTCACACCTAGCACTAGGCCTCTTCGTCTCTCCCAAGATTTACGTCTATGAACACTAGCATCTTTTAATGTCCCAAGAATTGGATTTCTTACTGATTAAATTCTTCATCATACCCTCGTCATGTTCGACGTATAATGATTCATCTCAGTATCAATTTGATGATCCGGCAAGGATCGTATGAGGATCCCATGAAGATCCCACGAGGATCTTATCTCTCATGATTATTTTGTCAACTTCTCTCTCTACAAAGGCTAACCCAGCATGAATCTATTGAATTTTCTCCATTTTTATCATAGAACGCCTCATTCTAGTGTCAGTTGGCTCGGCCTCGCTGCTCCATGTTATATCACAGTGAGTTTGTGAGAGGTTTTTAAGAGTTATTAGAATTTTTTACCTTACAATTTTAATATTATCACAAATGTTTAATATTTATTAGGAATTTAAAGTATCCATTCTTGTAATATATCACCATTATGGAGGATATTTTTCCTTTATTGTTATTTCGTTGTTGTTCTATTCTCTTTCCTTTAGAAAGGTCTGTTTGTAATGACAATATAATCAATCAAATGATAAATAAAGTCTAATTTATTTATGATTTCTAACAACATTAAACAGATTGAATTTACCCTTATACTCTTATGTATCATCAATCTTGTTAGATCAAGCAAGAGAAGAAACTGTTGGATGGCAGAAAGATTTAAGAAAAACTAACCTTGATATCTGTTTGATAAGGCAATTTAATCTAGTCATGGTGATTACTTTATTCTTTGTAGGGGTATGTCAAAGGCAATGGCTAAGTAGCATTTATCATAATTTACAGGTCCTAAGTTCAAATCATGAAAATAGCCTTTCTACAAGTTTAGGGCCAAAGTTTGTGCATAAATCCTAATCATACCCTGCATTTGTGAAAGCTTCATGTACTGGGAATGTCCCTTCAATATCTTGATGATTGATTCTTTGAATTGATACTAAAAAACTAATCAAATAATATTTTTTATCATAAGATGCTACAATTCTTCCTAAAGTTGTATTTCATAAACAATTATACCGCTAATGGTGGATGAATTTGCATATCAGACATTTAGTTGTGATTAAAACTTCCATTACTAAATTATTTGCTCACGAAAAACTAATTATTCTGCTAATAATGACTGAATTATAATTCAGGAACTAATCAAAATACTAACAATGGATCTATATGCCCAAATCAAGCCTTGTCATTTCTGATAAACGTAGTTTAATATTTTAATTACCATAAACAACAGAATATCTACACCCTCACTTAACGGCATACTTAAGGTGGTTTGTTGGGTTCAATTCGCTAATTAAATTTAAAATTGCGGCGACTCCATCAAATAGCAGAAGAGAAGGTAAAACAATAATCCCGTCAATAATATTGGCCTATTAATACCTGCGCTTCCTTGTAAGCAGCCATAGTGCTGTCTGCAGCAGCTTTACGCTCGTCCCCGGCTTTGAACTCAGCAAGATAGCGGTGGTAATCCCCCTTCATTTTAAGGTAGAAAACCTTGGACTCGCTGGATGCAGCGGAAGGGATAAGGTGGGAGTCTAACAAAGAGAGGATACCACCGCAGACGCCAGAGAGCTCATTTTCGATGCGCGCGCGGTAGTCCTTGACGAGCGCCGCATGATCGTCGTTGCGGCGGTTCTCCTCTTTCTGCTCGATGGAGGAGACGATCCGCCAAGCGGCGCGCCGCGCTCCGACAAGGTTCTTGTAGGCCACGGAGAAAAGGTTGCGCTCCTCCACCGTGAACTCTCCAAAAGCAGGTGTGAGCTTTACCATATCCTCCATGAATCGAGCCATCTCGTCATAGCGCTCCGCCTGCTCAGCAAGCTTCGCCAGGTAAACATACTGCTCACGAGTCAGCGCATGTCCGACCTCCATCGCCACCAACGAAGAGGAATAAGGGCACAAGTAGCGAAGGACTGCGGGCTAAAGGAGAGATTTTTTGTTCTTTGTGGTTCTCGCTTTATCTGTATTTTCCTCTAATTTTTCCCGATCGGAGGCGGAGTGCGGTGACCGTGGTGAGTTTAAAGAACCATCCACCCCCGTCCTTTTTTTTCGTTAAATAATTAAATATTTGGGGAAATCGTTAAATAATTAAATATTTATATAAGTTCCCATGAGTAAATACAATTTAAATTTTGTAGCATTAAATAAAATAAAAAATATAATATAATTGTTGCGTCCTGGAATATTCGCGGCGGTAGAAAAATATATATGGTTTAACGTCTTAGCATTGTATGAAGATCTAGCACACAAGCAGATAAGTGAGGGGGTGAAACATTCATAAGAGACACCAGAGTTTTTACGTGGAAAATCCCTTAAAAGGGGGAAAAGCCACGGGGCCTGGTCCAGTTTGAATGAATCAACTAGTATTTGTAGTTGTTACAAATGAGGCTCTTCCTTGGGAGAAGGCCTTGGATTGATGTAACAAATGTACATCATGCAGATTGCATTACATAGTAGGAATTACATATACATGTTTGTCTGGTCGGAAGGACCGTAGTCGGCAGGAGACCGGGGTCAGAAAGACCGTCGTCTGTTAATGGAGGTCGGAAGGAACATAGTAGGCGACGAAGGCCTGAAGGACCGTAGTCGGTAGGAATGTTAACACCTGTAAATAACAGTACAGCATATTATATAATTTAGAACATTAATATACACATTTATTAAATCCCAAAAGTCATTTACATTACTCGGGATCTTCGCAATTATCATGTTTCCATCATATCCTGAGTACAAAAAGAATCAATATAACAAAAAAATAGAACCTGAAGAACCCTGATCAATCTCACACTCCTACTCTCTTGCCCTAACCTGAAAATCATTAACCACATATAATGAGCTTAAAAAGCTCAGCATGTCACCAACCTATAATTGAAATCAAAGCATGGTACAGAATCAATATACATGTCAATCAATCAAATCATAGCAATCACTTACACATGATTATTGAGTCAATGCAGAGACAGAAATCAGTGCAAAAAGAGTAATATCCACAATCGATAGTAGTAAATTTTGTAAATAATATAAAAATTCATAAAACAATAAACCCGTACGTATGCCATATCTCTACAGTAATCGTCGTATTTATAACCTCAGTTAAATCATTAAAGAAAGCATCGTATCCATAATATCAGTATAATATAAATTGTCAACAGCGTCAAATCAATACATCGATAATGACTGTTAAAATCAAATCAATACAGTAAAATCATATTGGAATGTATACATGTTATCCAGTTATTCTATATCACGCACTCAGTGCATAACATGCATAAGATCAGTACAATGAATCACTAGTATCAAATAGTACCAATGTTTATATCAGTATCAGTATCAATCCAGTGACAGAGACAGAAATGCAATAACAGTGAAATCGTGCAGTAGCAGTAAATTCGTACAGTAATGATAAATCCGTACAATAATAAAAACAATGCTTCAAAACATGCACTTCAGTACAGTAGTCTTACCAAACAAGTAGAAGCGCTGGCTATTACGGTATTTTTCAGTCATGTATCAGTATTAGTAACATTATTCGTTGGCTCAGTAAACAGAGTCGTCACACTTTTTTATCCGTCGGCATAGTAATCATCTTCTTATAACTCCCAATCAGTATCACATGAATTAGTAGAGGATAACACCAAACCCTATTTAAAGAAAAGCCAGTCGGCCCACCATCCTGTACAGGTCAATCAGTCTCCAACAAACGGTTCAACCAATCTTTACTTGTCTTTGCACACACAGCCGTATCACAGTAATATAACAATACTTTCAATCATATAATCACATTCATTTTCATCTCACAAGTACATTATATCAAACAGACATAATTTAGCTTAATTTAGAAAATAGACAGAAATCATTGTATGTCAAAAATCATCCAGTGAAAAATCACAAATAAATACTCAAAATGCTCGTAATCACATTCTCTATAACATACAAAAAGTTACGATAACGGAAACACAAATCAGAGCAGAAAAATATCAAAACATGAAATCTTTGAAATCAGAAATAGGATCTGGATTCTTTACAGCGAGATGAGCAATTCTTCCAACTGCGTCGACGGACAAAAATTGCTCTGCGGCATCTGAAACCAACCTTTTTCCTTTTTCTTCCTTCTCTTTCTCTCCTCTTTTTTTCTCTCTTCAAAACGTGTCAATCGGTCCATATATAGAGAAAAGATATTTTCGATCGTACGGACGATATTTTTCGTTAGTACCGGGATGAACGTAAATATCGTCCGTACCGGGATGAACGGCTCTGTACTGCATTCAGACCACATTCGTACTGACGATATTTGATTTCTTACCGGGACGATTTCCTCTATTTTGCACTTGTTAAGTTCGTACAGACGAAGTCAGTTCGTACTGGATGAATCTGCAAAAAAAATCATGAAATCTAAAGGGTTTTACAAACAATCTGAATTTTATATGCTTATAGACAAGATGAACAACTCAACTAGATGAATCCAACAAACCTTAGTTCACTAAATTATGAGGCCATTAAAATACTTAAATGTTAAATTAAAGGACTATGATCAAAATATTTGATATGAGACATTTGATAGAATGTTGTAGAATTTTCTTTAAGTTTAACAAAATGCTCACTCTTAAAGTATTATAAAAAAACTAAAATTTTCAATATAAAGAGAACCCAGCTTAATTTGTAGAAATTTGGAGATTTAAAGAACTCTAGAACTCTACTTAACTTCATTGATGACTACCACCGCTAACCACAATCATTGTCTAATTGTCATTATTTCAATGTCATTGCTCAACTGAGATCTTCCAACCATTATCTTCTAACTAACATAATCTAACTATCATTTTCTAATAACTATCGTTCAATCGCCATCATCCAACTGTCGTTTCTTGATCATTATCATCTGGCCATCGTTATCCAATCACAATAGTTCATTAACTATCATCCTAATTGTCATCATATGACTACCATTATCAAATCATCATTGCCCAATTGTTATTATTATAATAGTGTGGATCATCATCGTCCAATAGAACCATCTAATTATTGCATCTCTAATATTCTCCCTCATATTTAGATAATACAAATATATATTACATACCAATTGATGGAGGGAACTTGATAATCTATTGAGAATTAAATTGGTAAAAGTAAGCGACAATATTTTAGTAGTTTGAAGCATAAAAACTCACAAGCTATATTCATACAAACATTTGACATGACATGAAAGTATCTAATGACGACAAGAATGTCAATTATAGATTCAAAATGCTAATGGGAATAATGGAAAAGTAAAATGAACAGCTTTGAATAAAGGTAGCATGAGAAAGCAAAAAAAGTGGAGTTCATCTAAGTTAAGACAAATTATGGACTAGTCACCTGCATAATTGAAGTACTTTTGAAGTAGCTACCATTAACAGAATTCTATGTAGTTGAATAAGTAGGATGGATAATACATGTTGCGTCCTGAAATATTCGTAGCGGTAGAGAGATATAAAGTTTAGCATCCCAGTTTATACGAAAATCCTAATCTAGTTGAAATTGGACACCATAAGTTTTACGTGGAAATCCCTAAAAAGGAGGAAAATCATGGGCCTGACCTAGTTGAATGAGGGTGATGGCTCAATGTAGCAAATATTCATTGTATATAACACAAAACATAGTTGGAGAATGGCATAACAACTATTCTTAAAAGAATGTTGATATGTTTGTTTGATTAGTAAGATCATAGTTGGAGGGCGACGGTGGTCGGAAGGACCGTAGTCGGCGGGCGACAATGGTCGGAAGGACCATATTCATTCCTCATTGGTGACGATGATCGGAAGGACCATAGTCGGCTAGCAGTGGAGGTCAGGCGAAAGTCCGACGTCAATCGGTAGCTTGGTAGATTATGACGGCAGTTGACGAAAGTTAGCCGGCTGTGATGTCGATGTGGAGCTTCAACCTCAAAGCTCTTCTTTTCTTTCCCCACTTCCTCCTCTCTTTCCATGAGAAGAATGGGTTTTATAGTCTTTCAGGAGTGTCCTGCTCTGTAAATATAAAGAAGATCGAGGGCATGTTAGGAGTGTTTCAATTAACGGCTCATATTGATCTCTTTGATCGTGGAGCGTCTATTAAGCATTTGAGTGCTCAAATGATGTCAGAATCAAGCAATCTTGGGCTCGTTAGATTTTTCTCGTCGAGCCCCTCGATTCGACTATAAGCATGCTACATTTAGAAATCATTTTGTAATCCAATTTATAATTTGAACCTTTCAAACGTGCTTCGGGTCTTCGATTTGGACCCATTTGAGCCCGGACCAGATTGAATTTGGTGTCGTTGGGTTCGTCATCTCGAGACGTTCGTTTCGACTATAAGTTTGACAAAATCAATGTTCAGATGACTCCAAATTTAATTTTGAAAGTTTCTCACTTGAATATACTTCAAGATTTATGGCCGATCAAGATAAATTTTTTGGCGATATATCAACACATAAGGGTAATAACTGGCCATGCATAAATGAACAAGGTTTAAACATTCACAATGGTTACAAAATGGTAAGATAGTTTGAACTGAATATTCTTGAAAAGTTATAGAAGAAATGGATAGATATCGTTCATGAAGAAAAATACGGGCCTATAATGAAATAAAAAGGATAACCAGAGGAAAGTATGGCACTATCATTGATGAAATGATAACAACAATGGCAGCTAAAAGGATGATGAAATAACAACTAACAGTACAATTGATCAGTAGTCACAAGGACCCTTTATATTCCATTTACATAAGACTTCAGTTCACTTTTCAATTTGTTTAAATCAGATTTATATTATTTTAGCAAGAAGTACAGCCCTAACATTTGGCTGTAAACTTGTAGATATGCAGCATCATGGAGAACCATTGACACAACTCTTTTGAAATTTAATATAATTATATTGTCTTTGTGTGGTCGTGAAATAAAATCGTAATGTATTCCAAACCCCCGGATGCAGTTCATTTCTTACATAAAAGAAACACGCCTATTTTGAGCGAAAAAGGAAATCACGCCGGAGAAAAAGAGTTGGGTGTCGATGCCGGTGGTGGGGAGAAGCACAAATCGGTGGCGATTTTCAGATTTGGATGCTCAGTAGATGCTTCGTGTGGTCACAGCTGAAGCCTGATGGACATTTTTCTACTTTCTCGAGCTTCGGACATGTCAACAAGCATCCCATGGCATCGTCCTCTCTTCCTTCCGACGAAGCCCGTTCCTCTCAATCATCGCTTCACCAACGCAACAATTTTGCATCCTTCGGCAATTCAAGCATTCCACCATGGAGGAGTGCAAATGAGGAGATTGAGCAGCACGCATTCAAAGCTCGGCGGGCGGCCGAGCGGATCGACCAACGCTATGCCGTCTCCGGATGCATAGGAGCCACCACATTCAGTTGCTTCAAGGGCACAAGAGATTGACTTTGTGCTTGAGATTAGCCTATAGGAATGAATGCACATTGAAAGAGAAGAATTTCTCAAAGCAAAAGCAAAAAATATTTAAGTGAGAACATTTTCAAGCTTATATGCACCAAAAGCAAAAAATAAATAAAATAGAGCATGCTAACCTACCTCTCTACTCATGTATCTGACTAAGATAAACATATGCAATAATGGAATTTATACGCCACCAAAAAAGTTATTTAACCAAGCACAAATTTTACAGTAATTTTCAATTCTCAAAGCACATAAATATTTAATTGAGAACATTTTCAAATTGACAGCAATATCTTTTGAACTTCTAGCAAACTTATGGTTGAGACAATACGGTTTGATAAGATAAACCTAAAAATACTAAATCATTTGGATTTATGTGCAAACAAGAGCGGAACCATCTATTATTTTTCAGGGTGGACAAACTTATAAGTAACTGTTAGCAGATATATCGGGGGTCAAAGGAGACAGCGCCCCCTAGCGAGGTTCGACCTGCCTGGTCAGGTCACGGGGTCAAGGGGCAGCGTCTAAAGACCATAATATTTTATATGGTTCATCATTTCCTGACAATAACACCTATACATAATGTGTTTAATTATACATGGGGCAATTGCCTAAAGACCATAATTTTTAAAAACTTTTAGGGGGGGGGGGGGGTGCAATTGCCCCCTCTGGACATAAGGGGGTTACGCCCCTGTGTGCAAATGAACTTAAATCAAGTACTTAGAGGTATAATATCAAGCTTTTGATATCATGTTAGGTATTAAATATCTACCAAGTTTTGCGCTATTATAATTAAGTTGTGCATCTTAGCAAGACAAATCCAATAGGTCCAAGGTTACTTATTACTTAATTTTGAGGTCAGTAAAATACTAAGATGTCATGAAAATACGAATGAAATCATTCAATATAGTATCTATCATTCTTATATGAATGATTAGAATGCCCCCTAAAGATGTCACACCCCAGGCCCCAGAAACGATACACTCCGACAACATGGAACACGGTGAAAAGATAAAATGTCATGTTTTGTACTCACAAGAAGGAAAAGTATGTAAATCAATAATATAATCAAGTACATCATAATAGATAATAAAAAGAAAATGAAAAATGTTTTGTACTCACAAGAAGAAAAAGTACGTAAATCAATAATATAATCAAATACATCATAATAGATAATAAAAAGAAAATGAAATAATCATTTTATTAATATAAATTCAAATAATAATACACCAAATCAATATAACTACTACAAACAAAATAATTCTTAAAAAATAATAACATGCATGAAATACCCAACCCTCAACATAAAATGTATAATCATCTACTACAAAATATAAAATATAAAATATAATCTATTGTTGATAGCTCTGCTCCTGAAGTGGTGGTCCACCTAGCACTCCAACAAGACTTATTATGAAAAAGTAATAATGAGTGAGTTAAATAAATAAAACTAAACAAGTAACCTATATCTATATCAAAGCATAAACGAAAAAAGGATGAAATATATAGTATAAACAACTAAAAGATGAGAATAACAATTTATAGTCACTAAATCAAAATAGTCATGGGATACATGATGTTTTCTATGACAATTTTTGATATGCTAATATAAGCCAATGCATATATCAAAATGCTACACACATAATATCATTCTAATGCAATAACTTTGGGTATCATCATGCCCTCAAATGACCTATCAGTCATTTATGTTATGTACATATACAAAAAAAATAAATTAGAATACTAAAAGCTTTAAAAGGTAAATGTTCAAAAAATTTTAGAAGGTGAAGAGTCTCAAAAGATTCAAAATTACCTAAAAATCTTTAAAGATAAATGCCTCAAAAGAACATATGTACGTAAAATCTCAGAATGAAATATCTCAAAAAATATATGTACATCTAAAATCTTAGATGATATAAGCCTCATAAGATATAAGAATATTTAAAATCTCAAAAAGCTAAAAATATCATAAGGTATACATTTCTTTGATTTATAAAAAAATCTTAAAAGGCTAAAAGCCTCAAAAGGTACATGTATAAAAAAAATCTTAGAATGCTAACAACCTAAAAAGATTCGGAGTTATTTAAAATCTTGAATATCTTAAAAGGAACATGCATTCGTAAAATCTAAGAAGAAAAAAATCTCAAAATATATATGTAAATTTAAAACCTCGAAAGGCATAAGCCCCACAAGGTATAAGATTATTGAAAAATCTCAAAAGATTAAAAGTTTTAGAAGATATATATTTATTCGATTCATTAAAACCCTCATAAGGCTTGATACGTCATCACAAAATTAGCTTGATCGGGCACGAATCTCGAGGCAAAAGCTAGTTGGAAACTTCAAAATTTAATTTTGGGAGCACCCGAACTCCAATTTCAGAAAGCTTATAGTCAAACTGAGCGTCTCGGAAATACAAACCCAACGACACCAAGATCAACCAAATCCGAGCCCAAATGAGTCCGAACACTACAAGAAAATAGGCAATTAGCGACAAATAAAATTGGTCGCTAAAAATGTTAATTTGGACGCTAAAGCAAATAGCGACAAAAAATATTTGGGTCGCTGATTTGTCGCAGTAGCCTCGTCGCTAAGGCTTTTAGCGACCAAAAAAATTTTTTGGATGCTAAATTAGCGACCACTAATTAGTATTAGTCGCTAAAATTAGACATATTAGCGACCATTTTTTTTGGACACTAATGAATATTTATTTGGATGCTATTTAATTTTTTAATAATTAATTTTTCTTTATTACATTTTTTCTATAGCGACCAAAATAAAAATTGGTTGCAAAATGATCAACCAAAAAAATCACATGCACCTTTAATTTCATTAAATATAAAATTTGTGATATTGCAACAGGACGGACTGGAAGAGAATTGAAGCTGAATTGAGAGAGGCGGCTAGGGTTTTTTTCTTCCGCTCCGCCAACTTCTGAGCATACGATCTTCTTCTCTCCTCCTCCGGCTTGGCCGGAGGCCTCTCTTTTCCTTGCTACTATGGGTGAGAGTTTTAATCCTTCGGATTTCCCTGCTCTTGTTAAGGCTCCTGTGGTATTTCCTTCCTCTACTCCCAGAAACTGGAACAAAGTTTTCGCTCCAGAACCCTCTGCTTCCAAAGTTCTTTGCCTTTCTCACTTCCCGCAGGAACCAGAAATTGTTCCTTTTTCTGAAGAGAAGCTGACTAAAGGTGGAGAAGATTGGAACTTATGTCTTGTTGGATACTCTATTGGTAGACGTCCGTTCTATGAAGCGTTATTAGGTGCCATAAAGAAAACTTGGAGTCTTAAAGGTTCTGTCCAGCTCTTATCGTTAAGCGATGGTTTCTTTCTCCTTCGTTTTTCGTGCTCGGAAGACTACGAGATGGTCTGGTCTCGGGGAGTTTGGTTTTTGCTGGGAAGGCCTTTTGTTCTTCAAAAGTGGCACCCTAAGTTCAAGCCGCAGCGGGAAAACTTCACGTCCGTCCCGATATGGGTAAAAATACATGATTTACCCCTTGCATGTTGGAATTCTGAGGGGATCTCTAGAATTGCTAGCAAGATTGGTATCCCTCTTGCTGCGAACAATCTTACGGAGCAGAAAACGCGTCTCACCTTCGCGAGGGTATGTGTTCTGGTGGATAACAACGCTGCCTACCCGGAAGAAATTAAAGTATCACTGGATGGAGACCTCGTAAGCTTGAAGGTGCAATATGAATGGCGTCCTTTCCCTTGTGACCACTGTAAGTCTTTAATGCATTACTCTTCTGCATGTCCGTCCAAACCAGAGGTAGATGCCGAAAAACCGGATAATTTTACTAAAACTCATCGTGGTAGGAATTTTAGTAGGAAAGGCAGAAACAGGAACTCCTCTAATGCTAGAGATTTCTCAAAACCTCCATCGGAAATTCCTAAACCAAAAGTCCAGTTTTCTCAAAATCCTCCGGAACAACAATTTCATGTTCCAAATGTCACTACTACAACTACAAACATTATTGGGCTTCCTCTCCATTATCAGCCTCATTCCCCAACCCCTCAATCCCAAGCTACTAACAGTCCTATGGTTCAGGACACCTCTATCCCTCATAACTCCATGACTGTTGAAGCCCCAATGGTTTCAGCTATCCCAAATTTAAATTCACCCAACGACGAGGAGGTAGTCTCTGCCTCATCCAGCTCGTTACACATCCTTGGTGCGGTTTTGAATCAGGATGTGTCGGTCATGTCTCCGAACAAGTTTGATGTTCTAATAGATGAGGATGTCAGAAACATATTGGAAGAGCCTGAATCCGGAAAAATTGGTCAGGAAGTTAATTCCAAAAAACAAAAACAGAAAGAAAAATTTAAAGAAACTGTGGCTTCTAAAAAATCTGCTAAGGGGAAGCAGGTTAAAAAACCCCATTCTTCCAATTAAAAATGTTTATTCCATCCATTGCGGCGTGGAATGTTCGTGGTTTCAATCGTCTTGACAAAGTCCTTTGTTGCAAGCGTCTTACGGAGTCCTTCAAATTAGACATGATCTGTATTTTGGAAAATAGGATTCATGCCAATTCCTTGCAAGACCCGTTCTTTGAACAGTCTCACTCTATTTCTATAATGAAAGTAGTTGCCATAATTTTGCCCTGTCTTCTTCGGGGAGGATCTGGATAAAGTGGAATGCGAATAAGCTGTGCTTTCATCCTACTCATGTCTCTTCACAAATGATATCTGGTATGGTTTCAGTTGCATCTGCTTCCCTATTTCAGATATCCGTTATTTATGCCTCTAATAGCACCCTTGAACGAAAAGAGCTTTGGGAATCTATTGATCTGATTGCGCGATCCTCGCGAGCTCTCGCATCTCCTCTTTCCTCTCATTCATATCATCCACCGTGATCACCACATGATCCGCCGGCGGAGCGTCGGGAGGTAAAGCTGATGCCGGAGGCGCCGGCGCAAGCATTGCCCCATCGTTTCGCGCGGGAATTCTGGATGCACGATCGGGAGAATAGAAGGTGTAATTAGCGCGGCAAACAGGGCAAGTGACGTGGGTTTCGAGCCAGGCGTCTACACACTCCTGATGGAAAACGTGGTCGCACTCGGGGAGGAGGCGGATGGTCTCGTCATCCTCGAATTCGTTGAGGCAGATTGCACACTCGAGCGCGCCCTTTCCGATTTTGTGCTCCTTCACTTCTGAATACACCAGCGTCGGGAAGTTCTCGAGAACCTCGGGATCAAGCCCTCGCTGAAACCTGATGCGGCCGGCGGTCATCGCGACAGCGTTGGAGACGGTGGAGAAATTGTCGTTCCCGTTGCCGCTGCACTGACGGATGTAGATGGAGAAGAAGCCGAGGAAGAAGAAGGCGGTAACGAGCACGACGATGATGATGGCCATGGATGGGTTAAAATTGGGCGACGCCCCCGGACCATTGTTGTTGCTGCTAGTATTGCTTTCATTCGACGGTGGTTGGGCTTCGACGCAGTGTCCGATGAAGAGAAGCACTACGAAGAGATGAAAACCGGCGACGGGACGGTGACGGTGCTTCACAGCCATTGGAGAGTGATTGGGCAGCTTAGGTTGCTTTGTGGACTTTGGGATAACCGGGAGAAGTGGAAGGTGGGGACAAGGGAGGTGATATAAAGAGTAGTGCTGATCTGTTAGCCGTCAAAATGGAAAGGATCGCGACGGCCAAGGTGGTGTGGGTACGGTCACCGCCAACAGTGCCAAATGGCAGTACGGAAGCTGTTCCAAAGGAAGGCTTCATTTAGGGTTGGTGATGTGACACATCCGGATTCATCTTTGAACTCCGCACAAAATAATTTTTCCATTTAAGAACCTTAGAGAAATTATTTTGTGCACGGTTCGGAGAGCAATCAGAACGTGCCGCGTGATCCGATACAAAGCGACATCGAGAAAAAAAGTGACATGACGCGTATTGGTCTCTGGACGCCGTCCGGTGTCCCACATAATAATTTTTCTCATTGTTTGGGAGAGCTTTTTTAATGCTTTATAAAATAGATTACGAATAAAAAATTTCTTGAAGTAAAATTTTTTGTAATAGAAAATAGTTTTAAAAAGGAATAAGAAAGCTGTCGCAAACGAAGCCTTAATCTGCTATGATATTGGTGGTTTTGGATGTCTTTTGATAGTCGAATAGCTGTTAAGAAAGCTCAATAGTGTTACATTTGATTGCTCAATTATGTAAATCTTAATTAAAAAAACCTAATTAGTGCTTAATTACTTTGTAATATAATTAATTATTAAATATCATAAAAAATAATTAATAAACAGAATTAGTATAAACTTTCATCAATGTTTATCTCGCTAATTAAGCATTACATACCCTTTAATTGTAAGTGGCTTATTAAAAATTAACTTATTTGGTTGGGTCGGTTGAATTTCTCATTGTGAGAATTGAACCTTTCATTTTCGGTAAAAGAAAGGCTACGTTCGATACAATTTATTTTCTTGTCTTTTTGGCTGTATTTATTAAGCTTCTGAACTCTTGAAAGCTGTAAATGATCGCTCTTTAATGTTTATTTTTATAGTCATTTTCAGTTGATTTCTTCTAAGTTGTTTTGACTGTTTACGTTCTGCTATTTTAAGCAGAAATTTATTCCCAAAAAAATATTTTCAATTATTTATAACATGATAATTTTAGTTCAAAATAAATAAAATTGAACTGATTAATTATAACATATATAGTTTTACTTAATTATTACAGGCGTAAAAAATACTTTTAAGTCATAACTTTATATGAAGATCGAACATATAAACATATAGACTTTTTTTATACATGAAAAAAAGCATGAGTGAAACTAGGTGTGGACAGCTTTTGCCAAATGACAACGATCATAAGATTACAAGAGTATGATAGTTGGCAAAAAACATGACGGAGTTGGTATAGGATAAAAGTTGTTTGGACTGTTTTTGTCAAATGACAACGATCAGGCATTACTGGTTGAGCGGCGATGGTGGGGATTCAGATTGGGTAGAGACAATCATGTGATGGCGGTAAACGAGCGGCGGCGATATGACGATGGTCGTTGAGCGATGGCGGTCCAATAATGGTGGTCCGATAGTAGCAGTTTGACATTGGTGGTCTGATAATGACATTGGTCCAACGACTGAGGTCATACAGTGGCGGTGGTTTAGCGATGATGGTTAGGCGGTTGCAATTTGACAATTATGGTCGGCATGCATTTGTTTAAAATCAATGGTTTGACAATGATAGTGGTCCGATGACTATTGTCCAGCGGTGACAGTTCAATGATGGTTATCAAGCGAAGATGGTTCGAAAATGATGGCCAAGCGGTGCTCCAACGGTGGGAATTAGGTGGTTGTTCTCAAGTAGAGCTTTAGGTCAAGTTTTTTAGTGCTCTTGAATCTCTAGTCAATGGTCCCTTTCATGTAGAGAGCAGAGACATATTTATATATTTTTTAAGTGACATGCCTTATAAATATGGAGAAAATCTAGAATACTTTATTGGACATCCCTTATTGATTTTCTAAATCATAAAATATTATTTATCTTAGAAATGCCTTAATGCTATTTTATTTAAGCAATCTTGGGCTCGTTGAATTCGTCTCATTTATATGTGTGATTCAATAATAATCATGCTAATTTTGGAGGTCATTTGGTTTTCCAATCAATGCTTAAAATATCTGAACTTTGCTTCAAGCTCTTGGTCTATAGGCTTATTTGTACTTGGATTTAGCCATTTTTTATGTCATCGAGTTCTTCTCATTGGGCCAAATGGTTTTACTATAAATTTTAAAATTAGAGTTTGAATGGCCATGGATTTAATTATAAAAGTATTCAATTAATCCAATGTGTAATGAGACTTGTGCCTAATAAACCTGACTTTTAATAATCTATCAATTGCCCTTATTTTTGGACATAAAATTATGCATATTTAAAAATATGTTGAATTCAAAATATCAATTTTGCCACATGAGCAACTAAAGTTATGCAAAGTTAGTTGTGCGTGCATAGGGGTGGGCTCTACAGTCTACAACGCCCTAAACCCTAAATGTGATGGTGATGGGTAGCCTTTTGGTGAGATTGCTACTAGGAAAGGTTATGGATGGTTAGTTTGATTTTTATAGAAGTGTTTTGGAGTCTATGGTTGAAGGATGAGGAGTTTAGAGGGGTATATTACTAGAAATACTAAGATTAGTCCAGTTTGAGTTGATTTGGGCTTATTTGGAATATCACTTTAAAGAATAAAGAGCGCCTTTGTGTGAGATAAATAATGGTAGAATGTTAAATTAGGATTTAAACTTGTGATCTAGAGTTGATGGGACAATTTAATGGGGTTTAAGACGATGTTGAAGGATAGGGATTAAGACTAGTTCTAAGTGTTCAATGATTATATGGAAGTGTTTAGAAAGATTTTATGATTTTGATTACTAATTTATTGGTCTTATGGAATGCTTATGAAGTGGAGTTGCGAATAATTTAGAGTAGGCATTTATAATGATTTATAAACAATATATATATATTTAAAATTATGGGCTCATGATTAGGCTATTGTAATTGGACATTTTCTTTGATATTTTTGTTGGATTTATTTGGTCTTAGCTCTTGTAATTGGGATTTCAGCTTGATTATATTCATCCAAATGATGTGCTACATCAAAAGGCATACAATGCATGCAAATGCTAATGTGTTTTGGTTCTAAAATTTTTTTTTTTTTCATTTTGGGAAATTATTGTGGTAAACCCACTTTCATATAACTAGAAAAGGATGTACAAATGAGGCCTCAAAAAGGAGGCAAAAAGGAAAAAAAAAATTACATAACAAAAGCAGGTAAAGAAGCTAAGGATGTCAAAAACAGCTTCATAAAATTACGTGAGCAAAACCATCTATTAAGGCACAAGGCTTGCTGGACTCAGGGTGCTACATAATCCATCATGATAGTTAAGAAGATAAACCAGAAAGAGAACCACATTAGTGACTAGTAGAACCAAAAAGTCCAAACGAAAGTTCCCAACAAACCACATAGCAACAACATGCTACTAGACCAATATCACCTCTATAATTTAGCACCAAAACCATAATGAATAGGCAAAAAACTAAAATAGAAAATCAGCAGATTAAACTTAAATAATTCTCATCATTTTTTCAATCACTGATTATGGCTCTTATAGCTTTTTTAGCAAAAGCAAAATGGTGTTAAAACAAGAAGAGGATCCCCCATACCTTCTTCCATTGTGTTCTCTCCACAGAAAATAAATTATAGCATAAATGACCAAGCAGTAAATGCTTTTAGAGTGCACAAAATAATTAGGGTTACCTGTGAAACCACTTAAGTAAAATAAGATAAGCTCTTAAACATCGAGGTCTCTTTTGGTGCAATGGTTAAACTTTCATTAAGAAAATTTACAGTTAAGTGTACTCATCCTAGAGAAATCCTATGATGAGTGACCTCATGGGATGTTACAGACAAAACCATAAGGCTCTTTGGTCAAAGCAGACAATATCATGATAATTAAGAATTTGGGCTATAACAATTAATATTAAAGCAATACTACAGTCAAAAGATGAGAACAAAGTGTCATACAAGACAAAGTGCTATGCCATGGGAGCCTCCTCTTAAATCATGTATAGAACAAAGTGCTATGTGGCGCGAGTTGCCTCTTGAAATTGTAGGGGCCACCTCTAGAATCATATATGCCTAGGGAATGATTCTGAGATAAATATTATGATGAGGATGTCAATTACTTAGATGTGGGAGATTGTAAAATACCTTAAGTAAAATAAGCTAAACTCTTAAACATCTAGGCACTTTTTTGTGTAATAATTGGAATTTCATTAAGAAACTCTATGATTAAGCATGCTCATTAGTCATTCCAGAGAAATCTTGGGATCGGTGGTCTCCTACGAAGTTACATTAACATGACAAAATCGTGAAACACTTAGGCCAAGCAGACAATATCTTGATAGTTAAGAGTTTGAGATGTTATATCACCTTTGATGCAATTAAAACTTGCAAAATACTAGGCCGAAAACAAAAAATAGAGGCCCCAAGGAAATGACCAGTTAATAAACTGAAAGAAAATTTGCATTAAAAAAATATGTGGGTTGAATTTGAATGTTCTCAAAGATGTTAACGACGCAAAATTATAATATCAAAAAAAGATATGGTGTGACTGCCCTTGACATCAATGGGGACTTCTCCTTAAAATTGTGAATCAAGTAAATTCTCCTAAATTATATTATCTCACATCCTTGAAGTTGCACATCAATTACAATAAAAATTATCATAGAGTTTTATCTTAAATTTCTCAAATTACTTGAATTTATTATAAAGGCTTAGTGGGGCTCTAAAAAATGTTAAAAATGAGTTCATAATGTTATAAAAATATCCAAAGGACCTAAAAAAATGTCTGAAACATATATTTACAGCTGAAAATTGTATTCAAACATGTGTAGGCAACCATACCAACTAGCCGACTAATTGTTATATATTGTTGGTATAACCTGAAACTCCTATGCACCCTCATGCGCACTCATAGCTAGGAGCGATTATTCTGTGTGGACACCAGACAAGAGAACTGTCCGGTTCCGTGCTCAGTACCGAGCGGTACCGAGCGCAGTACATTTTTCGAAGCGACATGGTGTATTTTTATTGGTCTCCAGACGAATTCAGACCCGCACGTAATAATTTTTCTAAGGAGGCACTATATATAATGCCCTAAATCCTAAATGTATTCAATACATGCAATTGTTGGTGTATTTTGGCTATTGGAAAATTCATGGCAAAAAATTATAAGATGAGATCGTTCCTTGGATGTTAAGGTAGCAAACTAAATTCCCCTAAATTATAATATCACCCATTCAAAAAGTAGACAAGTCATTTAGAGCAAAATTGTCATGAAATTTAATCTGAAATTTCTCAAAATTGCTTAAAATTGTTTGTAGAGGCTTTGTGATCGATGCTCTTAAAATGTTAAAATTGAGTTCATAATATCCAAAAATGATCCTAAGAATCCCAAA